GCGCTCCTGCGCGGGCGGGAGCGCGGGCCGCTGCGGAGTCGGCTTCCCGCTGTGACGCTGGGAACTGGCGCCGGCGACCCGGAGTTTGCACATTCTCCGCGTCTTCCTTGGAAACGTGCCTTTCGGCCTCGGCGTGCCGCGTGGTTCTTCATCCTCTTACATGCTGTGAGAACCCGGGACTCGGCCCTTCAGTGTGCAGCATAGGTTTTTTGGGAGTTTCATTTTGCTCTGGAAGTTTCATTTTCCCCTTGAACTCCAACTACTTGAAAGCGTGCTATTAACTCCAAAGGCCGTCAGCTCTGTGATTGGGCGGGCGCTGGTGTAGACCTGGATGGGAATTTCACGTCCATCCCCTGTGAGCCGTGGACAATTCCTAAGATGACTGGGCTTTCATTTTCTCGTCGGTAGGGTCCGAATACTAGTACTTGCTTCACACGGTGTGCTCGGGCCTAACCGAGGTGAGTAACTCAGAGCGTGTTACCTGGGTGTGCCCGGAGTATTGGTTAGCTACAGGGGGCCGCACACGCTGCTTGACTGAAAGTCAGAAGATTGGAATTTAAACCTTTTTTCCTACTGTAGTTGCTCAGGTTTTTCTTGGAAACACAGGAATATTTTCTATACCCAACTGTAATATCTCCTCAATGTAGGAAAAGGCCAGGAATATCGGTATAGTGGACGTCTCTAGTGCAGAGGCTTTCACGTTTACCTAGGCTAGTCCTTGCCCCTTCCATCACGGTTCTTTTTGCTGCTCTGTCCTGGTTACATGTGGCTGACTGAGGAAGGAGGGACGGTTAATGGTATCTCTTTTCCTTCCAGTGATCATTTACAGACCGTTACCAACACTTTTCTTTAAAGTCAGGCCGTGTTACCCCAAAATAGGATTTGGTTTACTGTTTGGAGTAGGAAAGGGTTTCTGCTTAATGTTGCGTCCACGTGCCTAATTGAAGTTGGAAATCCGATTAGTGTTCTAGACTCATTTCCTATGTTCTTAACTATGTTAACTCTCCTCTAGTTGGACAGTTTGTTCGGTACTTTATGTGTAACTGAAAGAAAGCAAGACAACAGCAATACCAGAAATAATTACTCAGGAATAGTCCGGTGAAAAATATTGGCTATTTGGATATAAAATACTGGATATAAAGTAGGTCTTTTGGGGCAAAGAAATACATGCAGTCTAAGAGCACAAACAATACTCAAGGTAATAGTGGCCTCTCTTACTGTTTTAACAGTAGTATTAAATATCGTCTATAAAATATTCACTGTGCTGTTTGTTATTGCGAGGGATTTAGAAAACTAGAAAAATACCAAACCCATGTCTAGTGTCTTGTCTTAAAATCAGACTCTGCTGTGACTTACGGTATACAATATTGTGATGTGTAATTTTCTTTAGTAAGATTTGTTAATATGTTGTCAAAGCGTGAAGTGTTGATTTCTGGAATGAAAATGCTTTTACTGAGGCAATAAAAGCATTATTAATGAACATTAAGGAAGCTTGAATGTTTTCTTCTGAGTGTGTACATTAAAAATTTATTTCGGGTCCATTGGTTTTAGACGTTAATACCAACTAAAGTGTGTTAGGAATATAATGTCCCTACCCCTCTTGAGTTGAGAATTGGGTGTAGATGTTAAGTGTCTGTGGTATGGATACTGTCCCTAAACATGAGGAAAATGTGCAGAGTCACTTCTGTGTTCCTGTGAGCCAAATCACCTGTTTCTGCTATTTGGAAGAACAGTTAGGACCTAAGAAATTGAGTTATTGTCTGCACCCCATTGACCTGTCAAGTAAAGCTGAAGCATTCAGCTGAGAATATCTTACTGCTTTGTAGTAGGTTAGCCTGTTACCTCTAAGGAGCCTACATGGAGTAAGAGGTAGGCCACTGTTTACCTTGAGTACTGTTTATGCCCTTGTTAAGAAAACCAGACAGGGACCAGTGCCGGTACAGTGGTAACACAACTAGAACCACATGGGAAAGGTCTCAGGTTCTTCTCTTGAAACCTCCCTGAGCGTACCAGGTATGTGCCTATAGGCCCACAGTCTGGGCTACCTGGGGCTGGGGGTAAATGATAGAGTAAAGACCTGTTGGGAGTGTTGTCTTTTTCTCCCTGTCTCTAATACAAAAATTAACTTAACTTGAAAAAAGAAAGAAAACTGGATCGACCCTTATTTTTATTTAGGATATTAATTATATTTATACAGTTATTAAAATAGAGATAGGTTCCTATTGCTTAACTTCTATACCACTCTAAAACTAAAATTAAAAATGAAGTCTAATATTAAATACAAAGACTCCTCTAGAATCATAGGTAAGTTTACATTTAAAAAATATTTATTTATTTCTTGGGAACCAGCAGTTAGCGTAATGGCTATGTCGCTGGACTCCCATGTAGTCGACCGCGGTTCGTGTCCCGGACCCGGTGGCTTAAAACTCACGCCGGGCGCGTGTGCGTGCGTGCCCAAGATCCCAAGAGGAGAATGGAGGAGAAGGGATTGCGATGTGACCATTCCCCCTGGGGGGTGATTTCTCGCTTTCAGTCTCTATGTCTCTCTGTCTGTCTGGTGAGCGCACGCACCCTATAGCAAAAAAAATCCCTCCAAAAAAAAAAACAAACACATGTATTTCTTTAATTTGTTATTATTTTTAATTCATCAGAGAGGGAAAGTGAGAAAACAAGATGTCAGGTCTAGGACTCAAACTGCGGTCTGCCACGTAAGAGTCCAACGCCTTAATCACCACATCATCTGCGGGCCCTGTTAAGTTTACATTAAATTCAGATCTTTTCTCATTATGCTGGGCAGTCCAAGTAGATTGCTGAGTCAAACGAAAAAGCTCACACTCCAATATCCCTTATGCTTACATATATTTTTTAGATTATCATTGAAGTCCAAACAAAACATTTGGAAGCTTTAGCAGTGACCTCATGGATCTATCATCTGTGAATTCTATTTTTTATTTTTTAAGAGAGATTTTTATGTTTTTATCTTTTAGGGAGATTTTTGCTATAGGACGCATGTGCTTGCAGGAGAGATAGGAAGCGAGAAGCCACCCTCCCGAGGTGGGATGGCCATTCCACAATCCGTTCTCTTCCATTTTCCTCTCAGGATTTGGGACACGTACACGCATACACACATACCTGGCATGAGTTTAAGCTGCTTGGTCCAGGACTCAAACCACAGTCCAGTGTGGGAGTCTAGTGATGTAACCATTACACAATATGCTGGTCCTGTGAATTCTATTTTTAATAAAGCTAATAGAAGCATGTACACTGGGCCCAGAGGTGAAAAGGAACATGTGGGAATTTAAAACAGATCTTTCCAGTTTCATTGTGTGTAAACTCAGGCAGGGTTCCTGCTTTGCATGCATATCTCTCATAGCACTTAGCATAGTGGTTGGCATTGTTGAGAAACTGCTATTCGAATACGTTTTCTTCACATCTTTTCTGTACTGCAGTTTAAACTATAGGGCCCCCATGTCTGGTGGTACAGTACGTCAGCCAGATCCCACATGGCCTACTGCACAGTAGGAATCCTAGCCTGGAGACTTGCAGAATATATCACCCATAGTCCTGACAGGATGGTACAATGAAGAAGGTATTGCAGCATGGCCATGCCATGTGGGAGGATGCTTCCCCTTCTCCTCACTCTGGGGAACACAAATGCCTTCTGGCAAATTTTTTAAAAAATGAGGACTAAATCATAAAATAATAGCTCAATCCCATTTAAGAAATCTAAATAAAGGGCCTGTAGGTAGCATGGTGGTTAAGGCATGGGCTACTGCAGTTTGAGTCCTGGACCTGGCGGCGCGCGCGCGCTCACGCTCTCGCTCTCTCTCTCTCTGGTCAAATTGAAGAATGATAATAAACAAAATGAAATAATTATTTAAAAAAAGAAATCTGAATAAAACAATGGATTTCTGTGTATGTATTTTTTCATATATGTTGTGTTTTAAAAAATTTTTAAAAATCATTTATGACAGTACATAAGAGAGAGAATCAAAAGCAAAAAGCAGAAGTAAAAAGCACCCTTGACAGGGTTTCTCTTATACCCAGGTCCCCTTTCCTCGGCTCTTCAGACTGGGCTGGGAAACTGAACCAGTGGTTGGCCATTTGGTTCCCAGCACTGCCAGCCTTTACTACCTACACCACTTAGGCTGGGCCTGAGCATTTTATAAAACCTCAATAGCAAGTTTTCTGTAGGCTAAAAGATTTTAAGTAAGATATTGTCTTGGGGTAACTTAAGTAGAGCTGTTTTCGAAAATCTCTGTCATTTGAGAAATATAGTTGGTGTCTGGTCAACTCCATGATGCAGGGGTAATGTGCTGCTTAAGAGAAGCCCGGAGGCCAGCAGGTCGCATAATGGTTAAGGTGTTGGACTCCCACATGGCTGACTGCAGTTCAAGTCCTGGACCCAGTGGCTTGAAACTCATGCCAGGTGCACATATGTGTGTGCCCTCGAATCCTGAGAGGAGACTGGAGAAAAAGGGATTGCAGCATGGCCATTCTCCCGGTAGATGATTTCTCACTTTCTGTCTCTTTGTCTCTCTCTCTCTGTTCCCCCAATCCAATGAGCACACATGCCCTACAGCAAAAAAATCTCTTTAAAAACATCTCTCTTAAAAAATGAGAGATAAGCCAGATCTCACATGGTGACCAAAGTTCAAATGACCTGATCATTCTGAAACAGACCAGGCTCACATCCAAGCACCCAGGATCCAATGGGCTGGAGGACTGGAGGCATGACCAGACCCTGTGGAGGGTGCTCATCTCTTTCTTTTGTACTCATGCATGCATGCATCCTATCATGAATAAAAGGGGGAAATACACTTGGCATCTTTGTGAGCAGTGGAAGAGGAAGAGAATGGTTGTTTTAATTATGTCCATGCATCAGTAAAGAATGGCTGTCAATTGTGTATTCACTTGTCTAGTATTTAAGACATTTCAGTATTTCAACATGGATATGTTCTGGGGCCTTTTTTAAAAAGACGTTTTTGTGTGAGGGCACATGCACTCTCCAGAGAGACAGACATGTGCAAGGGAAAGTGAGAAATCACCCCCAGGGAGGGTGGCCACGTACAATCCCCTTTCCTCCTGGGATCTTGAGCATACACTCACAAGCGCCTGGCATGATTTTCAAGCCACTGGGTCCAGGACTTGAACTGTGATTGGCCATGTGGGAGTCCAGCATGTAACCACTAAGCCATCTGCTGGTCCCTCTAGAGCTGTGTTTTTGGTCCCTAAAAGGCTCAAGATTGTTTCCTCTTGGTATTCAGGGTGAGCACAACATGCTCATTTGGTCTCTGCAGTCGTTGATTGTTAACAGTCTAGAGGTAAACCTCAGAAAAGTTTAAAAATGTTTCTCAGCATTCTTAGCAGTTTGCTGTACAGCAGTTTGTTAGGTTTGCTTCTATTATTGTGCAATGTACTTACCTACCAGTTTCCATAGTTGAGCCTGTGTCTCCTA